ACATTTTCTAACATCTAGGATTTTCTTCCCTGGCTGTAAGGCCTAGTGAGATCTGCTGAACTTAGATATGCTGAGATGACAGCTAGCTAATCAAACTGGTATAGGAAGAGGATAGAGATTCCAAGCCTATGAAAAGTGATTCTTCAACTGAGGAAAATGGCCACATGCCTTAGAATATAACTTTAATAATGTCCACGCACTGGGTAGCTGATGAAATTCAGCACAGTTTTCAGGGTATGCCTCTGTCCACTATGGAATTACTGCTGCCAGTGCTTAGGAAAGATTGTCATTTACTACTACAGAGACAAAAGAAACAACTCATAAAATGTATCCTGGATCATCCGAAGTCCTCATTCTCTCCAACATTCTTGTATCTCTTTCTTTTCTTTTCAAATAAACCATATTTCACAGAAGTCTGATATATTAATAATGTCCTGTAGCACCCCTTATTATTGTGTCCTACTACAGGTTCATCTCCATGCAGACAGCAGTGAGCATTGTCAAACGATTACTTAAGAGGGGAGCAGAGCAGAGCAGGTAGGGCACTTGCCTCACCCAACACCAAGCCTGATTCAATCCCCAGCACTTCATATGATCTCCTGAGTCCCACCATGATGATTTCTGAGCACAAGAACCAAAAGTAAGCCCTGAGCACTGCTGGCTATGACAGAAAAAAAAAGAACCACCAATAATAATCGTAATTTAAGGAGTCTGGAGAGATAGTACAACAGGCAGGATATTTGCCTTGCACATGGCCGACCCAGGTTCAATTCCCCAGCACAGTATATCGTTGCCTAAGTACCACCAGGAGTGATCCCTGAGCATCACCAGGGGATCATACCCAAAATCATTAATAAGATTAAAATTAAATATATTGAAATCAATTAAAAATAATTAGTAAGAGGGGTAGGTCCCTACAATTTGTTTTAATATACAGGTATCCCCTGCTTTTCAAAATTTCAGACTACACCCTTTCATTTTTACTCAAGACCTAGTCTAGCACTTGTTCTGCCTGCTGGGTAAAAAGGATTTCTGCTTTTACAACAAACAGCAAAAATCTAAAATAGCCTTATAGAGCATTTGTTTTGCAGCAGCTATTTCAGAGGCAAGTGTGCCTAGAGCTTCAGGTGCGGTGCCAACTGGTTCCTTCCCCGGGAATTACTTTCCACAGGCTGAGTGTTTTTCTTATAATTCATACTTTTGCTGTATGTAGGTGTTATTTTTTATTTTATATGTCAGTTAGTATGCTTTTGATGGCTGTTTTTGGGTATGGGACTATGTTTTTAAATTTCCATATAAGTAATTGGATTTGTTTCTTCACTTTATGCCATTTCATATCACAGGAGTCTTCACAGAAATGCTCTGCTTGCAGATAGTGGGGGAAGCCCATACAACTTTATCAAAACCACATATGTTTTCTGGGGAATTCTTCTTTACCTTCTCTTTTTTTATCATTATGAATTAGTGCTTCTCTGATGCCCTAATGCTACCTTGTTTTCTTTGGACATCTATAATTCACAAACTATTTTTTTTCCCTTCTCAGAAATGTGAGATCGACTCCCCTCCAAGGGCATTTGTTCTTTCCAGTGAAGAGTAGTTTTAAAAGCCACAGGCACTAGTTGTACAAATAAGCTTGTTCCATATTCTGACTTGACAGCTTGGCAGCAAAAATATCTGACAGCATAAATCACTACGGGGACAAAACAGATAAAGGCTTCTGTTTTTAAAAATACCTATGGCTTCTTACTGGAATTACTAGTCCACGTCTACCTTTATCTTAATGACTTTTTTTCTCCCTAATCAAACAGAAGAGATGGTTAATCCATTTTCCTCAATTTTTTTCTGTTTTTTTTTTTCTTTTTGGGTCACATCCAGTGATGCACAGGGGTTACTCCTGGCTCTGCACTAAGGAGTTACTCCTGGTGGTGCTCAGGGGACCCTATGGGATGCTGGGAATCGAACCCAGGTCGGCCTCGTGCAAGGCAAACGCCCTACCTGCTGTGCTATCTCTCCAGCCCCCATTTTCCCCAATCTTTAAGTAACTTATTTTTCTTGTTCTCATTAATGTTAATGAAAAAAATCTGTGTATTATCATTCTAAACCATAGATGTTAATTTTAATATTGTCTCCCCAAACTGAGTATCTTTTCTTCTGTATTAAACCATGGACCCTTCATCCTGAAGCTGACTTCAGTAAGCCAATTGCATCAATTCTTTGATCGATATCACTTTATCACCAATATCTGCAAAGAAAGAAGCCTCAGTTTCTGTCTGGAGAACACTGAATAAAAATAAGCTAGAGTTCAGAACAGTCCATATGATATACATACCTTACATATTTTGCTTAATAAAAGATAATAATTAAATGTAGAATGTGGACAAATACCTTTTCTCAAAGATTAAAAAAAAAAGTTCTGTTATTTTCTCTATTTGAGCTCCCAGTTTGAATTTATTTTATTTTCCTTTTATAGTTTTTCTTTCACTAGTACCTTTGTATGCTTACGAAGCAGTATTTTTAGTAAAAGGCTGTAGTTTCTCACAGACTCATGAATATATACAGTGTCTTGCACAGGGTAATCTCTGCATATCTCTTCCCAATGTCACATTCAGTGGTAGCACATTCAGATCTTGAAACCAGACACAAAGTATTGACACCATAGATATGGCAAATGCTGTAAATGAGGACTTCTCACTCAGAGAGCCAGCTGGAAAGCATTTACCAGAACAGTTCTCGATATACATCTCAGTTTTTCCAGAACCAATCAAAATGTCAGAACATAAAACAAGTAGCATTCATATTTATCAGAGTAATATACAACTAACATTCATAATTATCAGGGAAATATACCAAGTATTATGGCAAAGAAACAAAAGAGAAAGAACTCAAAAGGCTGGAGCATATATTTGCATGCAGCAGGTCTTTATTTGATACCAAGCATTGTATGTCCCCCAGCACTGCCATGAACAACCCAGAAGCACTGCTCAAGGAATAACCTCTGAGCACTGCCAGGTGAGCGCCTCTATTTAAAAAAAAAATCCCACTCCTGAATTTATATAGAGTAACTTTTGGAGTTTTACCCAATTTTGGCAATATCTATCTAGAAGTGGTCCTTGAAATCAACCCTTCAAAGACAAAAAATACGATTACAGTATATTTTAGTATATTTAAGGCATATTACATTTAGTTTTCCAGGTTTCAAGTAATTCCCAGACTTTTTTTTAATCCATTACCAAAAGTTTTATTTTCATAACAGAGAAAACTCAGTAATTTCTAGTAATTAACATGTCTGTGCTATTACCCATTTTTGGCTGAATTAATATATACTGTGCCCCCCACCTCCCCAGTTTGCATTCTGTGGTGAGTGTCTTCTGGATGATGTGGTAGTTAAACCCCAGCAATCTATCTAGCTTGGAGAAAAATCTATCTGGGTTGAAGAAAAATCTTTAAAAGGTTGAAGGGATCTTATGTTTCCTTACGGGCTCTTGGTGGATTGGTATATTAATCTGTTCTCTCTAAGGGTCTGTCAGGGCAGCCCTGCTCTTTTTCACAGGAGTCTAATGACTTCAGATAGCTCATCATTGTTAAATGTTGGTGGTGGAGAGTCTCTTTCTGTTGTTCATTTAGCACCTAATTTAGACAGAAAAACTTTTTTTTTTTTGGCCTAAAAGTTCTGTGTTGTGTAATCTCCCTACCTTCCCATTGCCGCTTCCACAGAGAGCCATGACTCCCCTCAGAGAGGAAGCCCAGATACTCTGGCCATGACCTACAGTTGTCTTATGGCATTAGGTAGCCTAATTCTTCTTTCTGGGGGTATGGCATTCTATGCTCTCATCTGTGTCTTGCTCCCTATTTGCCGATATCCCCTGCTTCCTCTCCATCCCCACACCTTGAGCAGAACTTTGTTTGCCACTGCCCTAGAGTCTGACTTACCTGTGAAACTTGGCCAGGTTTGGCTGTGATCTCTCAAGGACAGAGTCAAGGCCTCGGAGAGGCTCCAGGCTCCTGCGTTATACTTGATCACCCCTACTTCGGGCATTAGACTGCACTGCAAGTCCCTTTTCCCCTACACCCTCAGCTTCCCTCTATCTAATACTGTCCATTTTACCTCCCTCCACATTCTACAACATTCTGATATCTTCTGTGTTTCCCTATCTATTACTTAAAGCAAGGTTGAGAGGAAGAAACATAGTAGGTCTATTTGCCCTTGTCGGAAGTTGGCAGATAAAGTGGTGACTCAGAACAAGTGTGTTGTTTTCAAACACTAGTAACCTTGGAGAGGCTGATCACTAGCCTCTTCCACTTCTCCACTGGACACAATTGTGTCTAGAAAATATTCATTGGTTATTTCTATATAGCTTTTAATTTCTGCCATTCTTCAAACCAGGAATTATTTCACATTTTCTTTCTGATTTCCAAGAGGATAAACATTTCTTGAATTGCCTTTTGTTTTGCTATCAATTTAAAAAATTCTGTCAGAGAGAGAAAGAGAGAGACAGATATTATGGTTTCTACCCCTCAGAAAACATGATATTATAAAATTTTGTGCAGGGGAAATCATATTACATTGACTACTGTTTGTTTTTTATATTCTCCATTTTGTTTTCCCAATTTGCCTCCCTGGTATGGGCATATCTGTTTCGTTTACTTGAGATGCTGTTTTATATTTTATTTCTAAATATGTCATTATTGATTTATTCATTCTTTGGTGGATATTGTGATTAATTTTCTTGCTCTATTCTTTATGATACTTCACTGGCTGGAGCGATAGCACAGCGGGTAGGGCATTTGCCTTGCTCGCAGTCAATCCAGGTTCGATTCTTCCGCCCCTCTTGGAGAGCCCTGCAAGCTACCGAGAGTATCCCGCCTTCACGACAGAGTCTGACAAGCTCCTCGTGGCGTATTCGATATGCCAAAAACAGTAACAACAAGTCTCACAATAGAGACGTTACTGGTACCCGCTCGAGCAAATCATTGAACAATGGGAGGACAGTGCTACACTGAACAAAGTTATGTTTCCCTTTATTTCCCTTTTCTATGAACGCAGATTTACTTTAGGATGGATGCCTAAACTATAACTGCTTGAGCATAGATGATGTAATATCTTATATTGCTAATATCCCCAGATTGCATGCCAGAAGTGTTGTGACAACTTTAAAGTTCTCATCAGTAGCCTATGAGACTTTCCCCTTCACTCTTGCCTGCACTAAACACTTTTAATTTTTGCCATTGTGGGAGGTGTACAACTTTATCTTGGTTTTTGGAACTTCCCTGAAGAAAGATAGGTGTCTTCGCATTGAAGAAATTTGAGTCCTAAACAAAATAAATAGAAAATATATCATAGTGAAACTTTGGTACACCAAAGATAAAAAGTCCTAAAAGTAACCAAAGGGAAAATACTATTTACTTACAATGAAGAGACACAGAGGGAAAGAAGCGTTCTCACAGGTAATAATGGAGGTCAGAAGACAATAGGATGGTATCTTCAAAGTGCTGTTGGGGAAAATAGCAGTCAACCAGAATTCTCCCAGCATTAGTATTTGCATCTTACATTGGCCTCCCTCAGCTTATTCAGAAAGAGATTTTGCTCCCTGACCAATGGGTCATATAGGTGTCCCAAACTGGGAAAACCCTAGAACTCCATGTCCTCGGGTCACATGACTGATCAAAAGAGTAAGCAAATAAACAAAGACCAACTGCCCAGGACACTCTCAGCCTACGCTTTTCATGCTTTGGAAGGAAATGCAGCCTTGTTTTCATCCCTTGTACATGAGAATCCTGATCAGAAGGAAAGACAGAGACAGAGATTAAAAGGTTCCCATAAGATTTCACCTTTCCACTGACTGGAGTGAAGGAGTGGTGGGGGCAGGTAAGTGAAGTGTCTGGACTGAAGAAATGAAGCCCAGCCACTGAGCAAGATGGGAGATGGCAACCTGAAGAAATGATAGATAAAAGCCCTGCCCAGCACTGAATGAACTCCGATAGGTCTCACCTATCCTGCCCAGGAAATTCAGCTGCTCAACTTACAAATATTCCCTCTACAAGCACAGAAACCCAGATGGCTCTGAGTGACCTTGTGCTGTACATCTGTGTTCTTGTTCAAATGCAGCATAATCCCCTTAACTCACAGAATTTCAGGATTGTTTGAGAAAGTCATTATATAACATGAATCTGCATCAGACAAATCCCAACGGGTGTGTAAAATGTTCCCAGCATAGAGCTGCCTTAAGGACCAGCTTTACATAGCTTTGTTGTGCACAAAAGCTTTTCCATTTTCATAGTAACTTGAGCTTCACAAGTCAGAGAAAGAGAAGAAATAGGAAATATATTCTAACCAACCCTCCTTCTGTTTGGATAGGGAGCATCAGAAGGTTTTCCCACATGAAATACCATCTCTCTCCCATCTGTTTATGATTTTGAGACAGGGATGAAGGGAAAATATCTACCTCATCCAGATTGTATGAAGCAGCAAAAGAAAAATTCTGTCTGTATGTCTGTCTCTCTGTCTCTCTGTCTCTCTCTCCAACCCCCCAACACACATACACAGTCATACCTACACAAACACATTTGTATTTGGTACTAAAAACTCCTAATTCTTTTTCAAATAATCCAAAGAATTTTTTTTAGTACAAAAGTTTCAATAAAGACAAACTTACAACAGAATAAAAGTCAGTACTTTTGGAGACTTAAAATCATGCAAGTAATAATAAGTTAAAATGGTAGATAAAAAATTATAGTCTAAAAATGATACAAATGACATAAGCTTCCTAACACAGGTAGGCCATGGTGACATAGTATGACATGATCTTGGCCTCAGGCCATTGGAAAGACTTGGAAACAAATGCTTTCACCAGTTTTAAAAAAGAAAGAAAAAAGACTTGGAGCCACAATACAACTAGCCATCAGTACTCCTGCTTACGGGACCTGCTCACCTCACCTGCATGAGTCATAGTGCTGGCTTGGGCAAAATCTCAGCTGCTTAGAACAGACTCTGGACAAGGCAGTGAAGATGGTGTAAAACCCAGAGAAATAAAAATATGGAATGTTTGGGGTCAGAAAAAAAAGAAAAGAAAAAATTTGCGGCTCAAGTTGTAGCCCAGTGTTAGAGCATGAGCTTTGCATGTATGAGACCCTGGGTTCAATCCTTGACATCACAAATATATACTCCTATATGAATATATAAGGCCATTAGTAGTTCTCCTGGAAACAGTCAAGCCAAGATCTTTTGTGAGTTTAAGATAGAAGAACATGTAGAAGAATATGAGTGAGAGAAAGACATGAAAGAATATAGAAGCTGGAAGAATAGAGGGTAGCAGTAGCTTGGAGGAAGCAACAGATTGAGGGACACATAGAACAAGGAGTCCATTCCAAACTCTTCTTGCCCTCTTAGCCCGACCTAACGAGATTATGAGAAAAAAAAAAAACACCTGTCTCAGAAGGATGCTGTGGCTTATTAAAAACAGTGAACTTGGAGTCCTGAAAGAATACGCTAAAAGCTGAAACTGATCTCCGTCTTTACATCAGAAAAGAAAAAATACAGGAAAGGAAATGAGAAGGATCACTTTTAAATAATTAGGTTGGCACATTCCCATAGTAAGAAGATGAAAAGTTAGGCAAGTCAGAGGATACCAGAATCTACATCAACAAGAGTTAAGAAAACAAACACCATTTGCATTCCAAGTCAAATAACAGAGTGTCATGAAGGCATCAGCTGAGTGGGAAAAAAAGCTGGAAAATCATTTTTTTAGAGCTCACAGCTAAAACTCAAGTTGAAAATAAATGCAAAATCTTGCAGCTGGCAGTAGAAATCCTTAACGATCTCATCAGTGGAAAAAAACAGTCTCTGTTAAAGGGTCTGACTCAGAAAGTTTATAAGCCAGAAAACAAAGAACAGAAACTGTCAGCTGCAAAAGAATTCAAGAAATGGAAAGTGAAGTCTAGTGAAAATTTATTATGTAAAAATTTGTTACATCATCATGCAAAGGGAAAAAAACAGGACCCCAACCTTTTTCTTTCTGGTGCTTTAAGATTCCTTGCTGTAAACAAGAGAGAAAATATCTTCCTGAGACAGAAACTGCAAAGTAAACCCAAAGATTGCTATATGGCAAAGTTCTCAGAAATAAAACCAAAATCATATAGTAAATAATTCCCATCAAGAAGGAGTCTTGGGGAACTGGAGAAATGATACAGGCACTTGCCTTACTTGCAGCCAATCTCATTTTATCCCCAAAACAGCATATGGTCCCCTGAGCATCATCAGAAATGTTTCCTGGCCCTAACCTACCTACCTGCCCCTACCTCCAAAAAAAGAAAAGGGTCTTAAAGCTATGCTAGTTTTCATGGACCTTCTCAGTGAGCACTGGGGCACACTGCTCTCTACTGTGTCATTCCCCTTTGCCTAATGGAAGAAGCATACTGGAAGATAATTAGTCGTGAATGGGTTTCCACATGGAGAGAAGCATGGGAGGTCATAGGAAAAACATCATCCTCTGATGTGCACACAAGCATGATATAATAGATGAAAATATGGCAGTGTCCCGTGTGAGCCATGTTCTCTGAATGACTGAAAATCCAATACTCACTGGTGGTGGCAGCGCTTAGTAAGGATATCACCATTTCAACACTAATCAAATATATTTGCTGAAGGACAACATAGGCCTATTTTTAGCATCTAAAAAGTTGCTGGGGCCTGAGAAATAGTACTGGGGTTGAAGCACATATATGCTTTAATATGTTCATTGCTGCATTTAGTATAACAGCCCAGACATGGATATAACTCAAATATCCCACTATGGATAAATGGATAAAGCTGTCATCTATACACACAATAGAGTACTATGCAGCTCTAAGAAAGGACAAATCCATGTAATCTGCTGCAACATGAATGGAACTAGAGGATATCATGCTGAGTGAAGTCAGTCATAAGGAAATACATATAAAGAATGATCACAATTTTTAATACAATAAATTAAAACTCTGTTTCTAATTCTACTGTGGCCCTGGGATCAGAGACGGTTCAGTGGACTGGAGAGTACACACACACAGCATGGAGAAGGCTCCATTTGACCTCTTGCTTTCAATAGTCTCCTGAGCACCACAGGAGCAACATCAGCCATCAAGCCAGGAGCAGTCCCTCAGTTCTGCCAGGCATGGCCCAAAATAAACAAACAAATAGAATGGTATTAAAATCTCTTGCCTTTAGACCAGAGATAGTACTGTGGGTAAAATGCTTGCTTCGCACACCACTGACTGGGGTTCAATCTCTGGCACCCCATATGTCACCAGAGCACTGTCAGAAGTGATCCCTGAGCCCGGAGTCAGGAGCAAGCACTAATCATAGCTGGGTTTTTCTCTCCCCACCCACCCACCCCTCCAAAATAAAAGGGGAAAAAAAGAAAAAGTCATAGGAAATAAAAACTCTTACTTTCTGTAGCACATGCTGGTGTGGCTAATGCTGATGCGGACAATTTCTTTTCTGTATCATGAATATCTGTCACTAACTCACCCAGAAAGTTTCTCCACTACTGTCAGCTATGTTCTACATGCCCTTACTTCATGGTGAGTTTATATCTACTAGCTAAGGGATGGTCACGGTCACAGTCCTCCCGTTGTTCATCGATTTGCTTGAGTGGCCCAGTAACGTCTCCATCATGAGACTTGTTGTTACTGTGTTTGGCATATCGAGTATGTCACGGGTAGCTTGCCAGGCTCTGCCGTGTGGGCGAGATACTCTCGGTAGCTTGCCGGGCTCTCTGAGAGGGGCGGAGGAATTGAACTCAGGTCACCCATGTTGTCCACTTGAAAGGCAAACACCCTACCACTGTGCGAAAATTAGGCTCTCCAGTCCTAAGAGTACCTTAGTTCTAGACACAATTACTTGAGATTATCTACCTTTCTCCCTCAAAATATAGTATGTAGGGCCAAGGAGATGGCTGGAGCATGTGCTTTCCATGTGGGAGCTCTCAGTTTAATCCACAGCATCTCATGAACCCTCTAGCACCATGCCAGGATTTGGTCTTGGTATGGCATCCAAACAAACTTAAAAAGTACTTATTGGGGCTGGAGCAATAGCACAGAGGGTAGGGCATTTGCCTTATACGCGGTCAACCCACGTTCGATTCCCAGCATCCCATATGGTCCCCTGAGCACAGCCAGGTGTAATTCCTGAGCACAGAGCCAGGAGTAACCCCTGTGCATCGCTGAGTGTGACCCCCAAAAAAAAGTACTTATGGTCTGTGCTTTGGTTATAGACATAAGTTCCCCTCGCCCCTCTAGACAACACTGCCGGACCCTCAGAATTTAAGCTTCCAATTAAGAATGGGTTCATAGAAGGATGGAAGATAGAGCGTTTGCCTTGCATGCAGCCAACCCAAGTTCTATCCCTGGCATCCCATATGGTCCTTCAAGCATTATCATGGATGATCCCTGAATGTAGAGCCAAAAGTAAGTCCTGAAAACCATTAGATGTGACAAATAAATAAATAAATAGATAGATAAATAAGTATGAATGGGCTCTTGGAAGCTGGAGAGATAGTACAGAGATTGACACTCACCTTGCTTACAGCTGAAGCTCTGACAGTGGTTCAAATCCTGGCATTACATATAATCCCCTGAGCACCACCTGATATGGCCTCCGAGCTAGAGCCAGGTTGATCCCTGAGTACTACCAAATGTACCCTCCCACCAAAAAAAGAATGTACTCTTGCTTCAAAATAGAATTTGAATGTTTCTTTGGTAGTTAATTTTAACACTTATTTAGAACTTTATTACTACGAGATGTATTTCAATTAAATCATTCAAATCTGTTAGATATTTCATTTGATCACTGTCACTGTCATTGTCCTCCCATTGTTCATCTATTTGCTCGAGCAGGCACAAGTAATGTCTCCATTGTGAGACTTGTTACTGTTTCTGGCATATCGAATATGTCACAGATAGCTTGCCAGGCTTTGCCGAGCGGGCGCAATACTCTCAGTAGCTTGCCGGGCTCTCCGAGAGGGGCGGAGGAGTCGGCTCTCCCAGCTGACTGCGTGCAAGGCAAGTGCCTTGCCACTGTGCTATCGCTCCACCCATTTCATTTGATATAGTATTCATTTCTTAAGTTGTAGCCTTCCATTTTCCCTACAATCCTCAAACACATATTATATGCTACTGTTTGTGTAGTTAATATAATTTATGCAAAAATGAATTTTAGTGCCACGTTGAATATAAACCTAATATGAAATTTTTTAAAGTAAAGGTATAATTGGGGCTGAAGAGATAGTACTGTACAGAGGGCACTTGCTCTCCATACAGCTGACCCAAGTCCAATCCCTGACACTCCATGTGGTCCCCCAAGCCCTGCCAGAAGAGATCTCTAAGTTCAGAGACAGGAGTAGACCCTGAACACAAATACTCCTAGGAGTGATCCCTTAGCACAGAGCTAACACTGAGCACAGCTGCATGTGCTCAAACACCTCCCCACAAAAGAGTAGTTTATCATTTTTCTTAATCAACATCCCTGAAAGTGTTAATCTGTTTTACAAACAAGAAGAATCAGAACCAAAATCTTCCCAAAATAGAACCATGACCTCTATTTTAGGTCAACAAAATCATTTTTAATCCATGTAAGACATTTCATGTTATGGAAGTAGAGCTAAGTATTTCCTAGGTGTTGTTGATGTGAATAGGATGTGTGCCACTGAGTCAGGAGAGAAGCCCTCACAGAACCCTCCAGAATTTGCACTGAGGTGTTACAACTGCTGATGGATATTCAGCAAATCCCTCTCTCACGGCACAGCCTCCCTGCACTGTGGTCTGTTTGCAGCTTCTCAGAGTGAGGGCTTCCTAAACATTCTTGGTTCCCTGGGAAGATCAGACCCTGCCTTTCTTTCTCCTACTCTTTCATCTTCCACAGACATCTTCCACCATCTCAAGTTTAGATCTGGAGTTTATATATGAGGTTGAAGCAATGACTTAAGTGGCAAAATATTGTCTTAAATTTTTAATGAATTAATCATCTTAATTCATCTGAAGACAGGGTATTTTAGGAGATTTCAAAGACCCGGGATGAAGCAATTTTTCGATAAGTCTCTCTGTTCTCCCTATTGCTTTGACCCTCCTAATGCCACTACCTCCCACTGCAAACAGCCCATGTTACCTGCTTCACAGACAAAATCCTAATCTGAGGCAGGAAATGCTTCCTATCACTGTAAATTCACCCAAACCTACACTCTTCCCCTTTTCTTCCTTTTTTTCCACTGCAAAGTCTCTCTTGCTATGTGCCTGAGCCCCTCACCTGTAACCCAGATTCTCCACAACCCCCCACTCCTTTATTCCCTCCCCAGCTCTTGGATGAATTAATTATCCCTTCTTCCTTCAATATGCACACACTCCACTAGTTTCTTCCCAAATTTACGTTTGCTCAAGTGTCTCCTGAGTTAGTGGAACAGCCACTACTTCCCTTTACCAAGCTTAGAACATCTACACTCACAACTTTCCATTCCTCACCTCCCACTATTTCCACACAGAACCTGTTATGCAACACCACCAACAGGTCCCTCTTGCTAAATACAATAGGCATCTTTGATTTTTCACAAGCATCTCAGCATTTAAAAAGAATTATTCCTATTTTTAAAATAACAACAAACAAACATCCATTCAGTCAGCAAGCATTTATTGCGTTCTTGCTAGTGCTGGGGAGAGAGGGTGCAGCTGTAAATAGGTGCTGGTAATGCCGGAGCTTCTTTCAGGAGGGGAAGAACAGCCAAGCAATAAACAAGTAAATGAAAGAATGACATCATTCCAGAAGGTGAGAATGCTGCAGAGGCAAACAAAACTAGAGTGATAGGATGGAGAGTAACCATGGAAACCGCACTGGATTTCCAAGGGGAGAATCTCCGAGATGATACTTGATCTGAAGGCGCCTGTGTGAAGATCGTGGGGCAGATGATTCTCAGGCAGAAAAAACAGCAAGAGCAGAGTTCCATGGTGAGCACAAACACTGAGCAGGAGTGCCAACATGTGGCTGCTTACCCACACAAAGGCAAGAACAGGAAAAAAAAATAGCAAGAAAGTGTGGTTCTACTGGGTAGAGGAAGAGCTCTGGGTCCCAAGAGAACAGTGAGCCGTGGTGCCCTCATGGACTGACCTATCTCCCCACTCTGCAGGCCTCTTAAGTATTAAAGCATTGGAGGGGTGAAAGGAAGAGCAAGGAATCTGCTTCTCTGCCCTTTCAATCCCAACTTTAGTAGCAAATCAACCGATCAACCACATGGGCACTTAAAATAAGCTGGGCTGCTTATACAGCCTGAAGAAAGATGGAGCCCTTCAACCTGTCTCCTCCCATTCCCCTAATCTGAGTTGAGTACAGAAAGTGGCCTAAGAGAGGCTCTGATAAGGCCACTGTTGAACAGACAACAAACCCCTAAGTCAAGGGAAGATCCCTGAAGTGAGTGTGTAAGGTTATTATCTCAGCCATGTTTCAGTGGTCCTTGGGGTCAGGCACCCACATGGGTCTTCTTGGAAGGCATCTCTGGTGTTTGTACAAAGCCAAATTTCTACACACACACACACACACACACAGAAATAGAGAGAGGAAAGAGAAAGAGAGAGAGAGAGAGAGAGAGAGAGAGAGAGATCTATGGCAAGGTGAGATGATTGGAAAATCCATGTGTGGGTGTGTAGGGGTTATGGTGAAACCAAGATTGAGTAGAAGGGGAGGTTTGTTTTTAAGATTCTGATAAAACACACTCAAGGCCAAAGCCTTCCCAGAGTCTAAATCCTCTGGACCCAAGCCCTGCCACTATGTGTGTGCTTAGCACTGCCAGGGCCTCTTCTCCCTCATTAAAAAAAAAAAAAATAAGAAGAAAGCCAAGAATGTGGGACTATAGATATTGGTAGTCAAACAGAGAGTTAAGAAGGGAAGTGAATGTCCACTATAATTAAGACCCCACAGTCTGGAATGACCTCCAGAAACCTTGGGATGTTTATCCTTCCCACCCTTCTCCCCAGTTCTCTTCTCCCCCAGGCTAGCTTCTCTTTCATTTGTTGATGGTACTACATTGAGGGGCTGCCAGAGAGAACACTGAGGAGCCTGACCTCAGCCCTTTGCAGGAAGGAGGAACTCTAATGCCATGGAAACAACTCTCCTCACATCTCTGCTGGTCCTGAGAAAGTGTCCTGAACTCATCTTCCTGGTCCTCAGGGAGGGAGCTTTGGAAAGGCAGCTCTCCTGCCACACAGAAGGCCTGTCCTAGCAGCCCTGCCTTGGGACACCTCAGAAAAGCAAGCAAGGTAGAACACCACCACTGGGGCCTGATAACTTGCCAAAGATCACACAGATTGCAAAGCAGTTAATTCTGGGGTTGGGACCATCCAGATGGCCCAGACAAGGTTCAGAGGCCAGACAGAGTATTTGCTCTAATCTCTGTGGGAGAATGCAGAGAGGGTTCTGGGAAGTGGAAGGGAGTTACTTCTTGGTGTCTTTTCTCCTGCCTTCTGACATAGCTACATCTGGCATGTGGAAGTAAACTACATGAATAGCGCATGGAAATTTCCTTGCTTCTCTGAATCATTTCATAGCCTAATTAACCTTACTGGGTCGAGGGCTGGGGCTGCAGGCGAGGGGAGAAGATGTGGGGGTTGGGGGGAGTGAGAAGGGTGTTGGTTTTTCCCCAGAACTACCACTGGACCTCTGAAGGAAATACAGTGAGCTGATCAAGAGGCCCAGTGGAAATCAACTGGGAATGAAGAACCCAGTCTGAGGATTAATTACAAAGAAGGTCAAAGATCAACCGTCAGCCTCAGTCACAGGATGCCAGGGCCAGAGAGGAATAAAGTGTTAGTAGAGAACCCCTTATGGGCACAGGAGCCCACCATATCTGAAGCCCACTCAGGTCCCGTGAGAGAAACAGCATCGGGGGATCAAGGTGCACAGCACTCCGCTGCCCCAGGCGTGTGGCTAAGACCTGGAGTGACCGCACACAAGGCCTCTCACCTCCAGGGAGGCTGCCCGGCGACCCCAGTGCCACGGACAGGGTGGGCATCGGTGGTGGCCGCCTCAGCAGGTGTCAGCCCCTGCGTCATATCCAAAGCCAGAGAACTTGCCCAAGGACACCGGGGTCAAGAAGCAGAGAGTCCAGGAGCTGGAGGCATCCATTCACCGGAAACGCTGCGCTCACTTCTTCCGGGGGGTGGGTCTGATCCGCCTTTTCAATCTGGTTCACAGAGAAACACACATCAAAGCCCTGGGTCAGTGAGGAGTGGTCACTCAGAGCTCAGTCAACACCACCGCGAATTTGGAGACTGCCTCGGAGGCTACTAGCCTTCTTGGAAATTGAACCTAATCACTCTTTAATTTCCTTAATTCTGGTAGGAATATGGCTTTATCATTTTTTTTCTTTTCTTTCCTTTTTTTTTCCTGAGTCAGAAATATGGAGTTAAGGCGGTCGTCTATTTTTACATACAGTAATTATTGCTTCTCTCTGAACACTAAACAAATAGGGCCCTTGACGTCAAACTAACACTGCTCAGAGCCTCCTAAATGAAAAAGGGAACTAGAGCGTGTCTTCTATGCAAAGTAAATTCAAGACCTGCTTATTGACCAACAACAGTTAAAATAATAATGATTTTTGTTTCTCTCTCAAATCATGGCAGATCATGAGGGTGGGGTCACTTCTGATGCAATGCTTGGAAGTGGCTCTCGGAGCTGCTGTGGGGAGCAAGCTAGGCAAGGGCTTGACTCTGGGGTCCCCATATGCAAAGATGTGCTCCAGCTCTGTGAGTCACCTCCTTGGTCCCTTGGAGATAATTTTGAAACACTGAAATACAAGAAGAAAATCAAAGGACCATCCACTCCAAGGAAAATACCCGTTTTACTGCCCATAGACAGAAAGGTCTGAGCACAGGTTCATGTACAGATGGCGTACAGGACTCGCTTTGTAAAACTGGGACGACATTGATTTGTTTCTATTTTGATGGAGAACAAACTCTGTTAAAGGAGATAACAATACTCAGTAAAGACTTTCTAAATAGAAGTCCCCAAACAATTATTGTTTGCAAGCTTATTTCTTCTCCAGTTGAGACACTGCATTCCAATGACTGCAATTTAGTTGAACAGCAGAGCTCTTTGTGACCTCCTTTGAAATGCTGCCATGCTTAGGCCAGGAATATAGCTCAAAGAACTAACATGTACCCCGAGTTCAGGGCACCACATGCCCAGTCCCCAGCATTGCTGGGTATAGCCCTGGTAGCCCCCATTTACCACCAGGCCTGAGCACAGCACTGTCAGGCTCTCACCCAGTATCGCCAGTACCCAGCTGACGAGCCCCCAGGAAAACAAATGATGCTGTGCTCAATCACTGCAGAATAGAAGAATCAAGAAAAAAAACAACAACAACACAAAGAAGCAAGCGTTAAAGTTGAATCCTACTTTTGGACTGGAGAGATAGTACAGAGAGTAGGGCTCTTGCCTTGCATGCAGCCAACCCAGGTTCAATCCCCAGAACCCCATATGGTTCCTCAAGCCCTGCTAGGTGTGACCCCTAGATACAGAACCAGGAGCAAGCCCTGAGAACTATGGCTCAAAAACTAAATAAATAAAATAATTAAAAGTGGACCATACTTTTATGCTAAAGACTGAGCTTATGAGACTCATAGCTCTTCCCATAATTTGTAAGGGAAAGGGGGCAGGAGAATTAAAGGTTTTAAATTAAAAAGTTTCTATTCAGTTGTTAACAGTAGCATTTTTCAGAAACCCCAAATTAGATCTCATGTTAACAAGACTAGCGTCCTTCAGACAGGGTTGAAAGTACCAAGAAAAATACATGAAGAATACTTTATTAAAACTTGTTGGGGCCAGAGAGATAATAGAGTGGTTAGGGTGTTTGCTTTGCATGCAGCCTACCTGAGTTCAATCCCCTGTACCCCCATATAGTCCCCCAAGCTCCCCAGGAGTGATCCCTGAGCACAGAGACAGGAGTACAGGAGTAAGTCCTGAGCATCACAGGGTATGACCCAAAAAACAAAAAATAATAATAATAAAGCAGAATTAAAAATAAATCAGTAAAGGATAGCCTAGAAGGTCAGAGCAGATTGCTTAGGGAAATGGAGAGGGGATCACTTTACATTATCTAAATTGCCTCCTTGACCTGCACATATTAGAACTCACCATTAATGCTGCTGACTGTGCAAGCCTGGGTGCCAACAACAACCTGGGAAACCCACAGATCTCGAGCATCCCCTCTTATTTGAAGTAATCCAACCAACCACTCATCTCATCTCATTGGCACATCACCGACAATGACAACTGATTGCCAAACTGCAGGCCCTGAACTCCAGTTCAACCAGGGCAAGCAGCTGAATGGAGGATAATCTGCTAGTAGTTCAGATTAAATTGCACAGTGCGCCCAGTAAGTAAGAGTTCCAATAAACTCCACTTGGCTAATCTAAGAAGATGAATGAAGCATTTTCTGGTAATAATAAATGAGGTAAATAATACACTCATAGGTGAGTGGATTTGAGAGAGCAATTAACTGACACAGGCAGCAGAGCTCGGACGCAAAACTATAGCCGAGTCTTGGCTCTTCTCACTGAGATAGCTGGGCTGCTGTGGGTGTTTGGTGCCTCATTCAGTCCATAGCACCAGCCAAGTCCTGATTTAGGGCCTGGGGAAGAGGAATGGAAGGTAATGTTCCTGTTCCTGACTCAGCAACACACCCAACAAAGAAGGATGGATGTTCAGGTGTCTGAAATGTAGCAGGGGAGGTCAACACTGAGCCCAGGGAGGAAGTGGCCTTCTGCTCAGCAAGAAGTGTGATGACTTTTACATAAAAGGACTATGCCAAGTCAACCAATCAATCATGAGGAAAGAGGAGTGATATCTTGAAATAAGATCTGAAGGAAAAGACAAGTATATACTTTGAACCCAACCCAAAAACCTTATCTCTGTAGGCTTAAGTCTTTGGACTCTAACCCCTTTTTCTAAAAGTCACTTGCAAAATATTTAATCTTGTTAAAGTATTTCTTTAAAATATTTCTCTATACATCAAATGTTCTAAATGAAATAACAGTTTAACTTATACATAAACTAAGCATACATATTGAAAAGGGGAAAATTTCTATTAGCAGATGTGAGTGTTAGTGTAAAAAATTCCATTTTATACAAAGGAACGAGTGAGTTTTAAGATCACAGATACATAACCAATATGCATAAATCAATTACATTTGCATACACTAGTATTGAACAATTAAATATCAAAAAGTAATACTTTTAATAAAATCTACATGCATAAAATAGGTATAAATCAAGCCAAATATGCTAAATAAGACAAGCAATTTTTCATAAGGAAAACTATTTCCCAAGCCCTAAATGAATGGAGATACTTATCATGCTCAAGAATTCAACATTGTTAGAGTGATTCCCAAATTGACCTATAAAATTAACACATTCTCATGCAAAATTCAACAAGGATATATTATAGAAATGGACATAGTGACTCTAATATGTACATGGAAAAAGTAGAGGAACAAGAAAGCCAGTTAATTTTTTAAGTGAAGAACAATGCTGCTGTATTACACTGATTTCAATACTTACTATAAAGCTACACTAGTCAAGTACTAGATTTGTGAAAGAAAAGATACATAAATTAAAAAACAGAATAAATTTTCAAAAATAAATTCACACATGATTAATTGACTTTCAACAAAGTTGCAAAAGTGGAAAATCTTTTCAATAAATTTTATTCAATGACATAGAACTAGAACAATTGAATATGCATATGAAAAAGCTACACTTTATTTCTCACACCATTTATAAAAATCATTCAAATGCTAATAATGTTACTGAATTATAAATTCAGTAGCATTATAAATTTTTTGATTTCTAAGAAGACAGGAGGAAACCCATGACTTAGGACAAAACAAAAAATTGTTAAATATGATACAAAAAGTATAACCTATAAAAGAATAAAATGACAAAATTTTTCAAAATTAGAAACTTTGGCTAAGTTTGAAAGACACTATTAAGAAAACAAGAAATCAAGTCCCAAACTGGGAGAATATGTTTGAAAACTTTACCACTGGTAAAGAACTTGTAGCTAGTATATTTCTAAAACTCCCAAGACACAGTAATAAGAAAACAACAATTATTTGTTTCTTTAATTATTTGAAGCCACACCTGGCACTGCTCAGTTGCTACTCGTGGCATTGCTAAGGGATAACTCTGTAATGTTCAGAGTATCAGCAGTGCCAAAGACTAGTAACTATGTGATGCCAAAGCTCAAACCCAGGCTCCTGTGTGTAGAGCAAGCATCTTAATCCCTTGAGCTCTCTCTCAGACCCTTTTATAACGTCTTCCTTTTTTTTTTCCCTTTTTGCCTCTGAGCCAGTAACCAGATCTTATGCATAGATCTCATGCATGCAGGGCATGTGCTTTGCCACTAAGTCATCTCCATGACCCCTCAATAATCTATTTATTATAAGAAAAAATATATATACACATACCTCACAAATACAGAAGAGTCTTCAGTGGGTGGTGTATAAATTCAATAAAAATGCTCAGCATCATTAGTTGTTAAGAAAATACAATATTTAAAACTTTAAGGGATACCACTATACATCTTTTAGAATGTATTAAAGGGGGAAAGCTGGGGACCACACCGGCAGTGCTGGGGGCTACTCCTGGTTCTACTCTTCTTGGAGTCAATTCCAACAGTGCTCAGGGGATCATGTGATGCTGGAGATTAAAGCCAGGACTGCTGCATGCCTTGCCTGTGTTTCACCTTTTGAGCTCTGTCTCTGACCTCTAAGATGATGACACTTAAAGCTGACAATGCCAAATACTGACAAAAATGCAGGGCATCTCACGCTGGTGAATGCAAAATAGTGCAACCACTCAGAAAAACAATGTATTGGTTTCTTAATATTCAAACAAACACCTAGCTTATGTCCCAGCAATGCCATTCCTGGTTACTGACTCAAAGAAAAAGAAAACCTAAGCCCATATAAATGTTTATATTAGTTTTATTCGTAGTCACTAAAAACTAAAATTAACCTGAATTTATTTCAACTGGGAAGTGAAAAATTGATAGGTACCGTGGAATACTTGCTTAGGAGTAAAAATGACTCAGGTAAGAATATGGTTCAATCACAAAATATGAAATCAAGTGGAAAAAATCAAACTCAAAAGGGATACACTGTCTGATTCCATTTACACGACATTCTGAGTAGGACCAAACAGTAGAGACAGAGAACAGATCAATGGTTTTCAGTATCTTAGAAGTTGACTTCAAAGGATAAGTGGAAAATTGGAATAGGGAAGCAGTAATGAGAATATTATATGCCCTAATTATTCAGATGCCTACATGACCATGTGCATAGAACATACTAGAAAGTTTTAACTGTATCGCATGCAAACTATATTTCAGTAAATCTTCTTTGTGTGAGATACCTGTGTGTGAAGTGTTATACACATATGCATGGCAGGTTTGGGGCCCATGAGTCCCCCTTTGTCTTTAATCTGGTACCTTAAACTATCATGTCCCAGAAGCAAACATGTTTAGTGATATGATGAACATAATTCTGTTTATACCCAACTAATTACTACTCCCTTACTATATGCTTTGTCAGGTGAAATTCAACTTCCTGAAAATAAATATGAATAGAAATGGCTGAATTCACCAATGGTTGGAGTTTTCCCTTGGATGAGACATATATTAAGAGCGTGGGAGGCAAAAGTAGAGAGAAAGTATGGGGAATATTGTCTGCCATGGAGGCAGTGGGCGGGTGGGAAAGGTGGGGGTATACTGGGGATATTGGTGGTGAGAAATGTGCACTGGTGGAGGGATGGGTGTTTGATCATTGTGTGATTGTAACTCAAACATGAACGCTTGTAACTATATCTCATGATGAATCAATAAAATTTTTAAAAATTAAAAAAACTCTGGTTTAAAAAAAAAGAGTGTGGGAGAGTGGGCATTATCAACAAATTAAGAAGCTGAGCCATGATTTCTTTGGGAATGGAAGAGAAGTGAAGAAAGGAGCCAGGTAGATGGTAAAAACAGGTAGTGTTAACAGCCAGGGGGTACTAGTAAAACTTAGTGACAATTATGAGGATATTTGACAAAACTAGGCTGAGAGGAAAAATCAGCTCTTGATGTAGAGTTGAATGACTCAATGGAGTCAATGAATAATCAATGGATCATTCTAAAGATGATCAATGATCATCAATGATCAATGGATCATTCTAAAGAGGCACATTTGTTTTCCCTAGTAGAGAATGACCTTTCTAAGAACTTACAGTTCTCATATAGCCACACTGACCAGAGCTCAACCAAACCTCAGAACTCTCTGCTGACTACTATTCCAGCCCTACTCTGACCTTCTCAAACCTCCTCAAACATCCAGCTTTCTTGTCATCTGGAGATGTCTTCCTTCATTTTAATACTAATTAAAGGATCTCTCTATATTTCAAACCCCAGCAGCCTTTCCTGCCCCCATCTCAGACAAGTGCTTTCACACATCTTTATCAATTCAATATCTCCATTCACTCTCTCTTGTTTCTAGTCTGGCTCTCATACATGTACCTCCTTCTTTCCATTTTTAATGTATTGTAAGCTACAGCTTTTCAGAAGCAAAAATCTAAAATGTGAATTTTTCAGCCACTTAGGATGGAAGAAGAGCAAGACTGGAAATTAGGGTGGTGCTTAGGTTTCCAACATGAGACAACAACAGTGTTGTTTGCTGAGGTAGCAAAAAAAAAGAAAGAGAAAGTTTCCATTGGAACTAAGTCTAGTGTAAATGGCTTCAGTCTCACACACCCAAGGAGATATGCTGTGCAAGTAGTTCATATGAGTTTAATGTCAGAGGGTTAGTAAGATTTGAAAGTCACAGTTAAAACCATGAGAGAAGGCAAAGCATCCCAAGCTAACAGCCTTTGTCAAACTGTTTACCTTCTAAAAGTTAAACCTCAAGGATAGTATTATTTCAGAAAGAAAGCCTGCTCCAGAAAGCCATTTCTGACCCTTTCTTCAAGTGCAATTTTCTGGTTCTGCTTCAGAGTGAATTTTTTCCATTAATTTTATCCCACCCTTTTGATAGTCAATCAATATCACTGGCGAGAATAGACAACATAGTAAAGCAATGGCTTAATGCATTACTTAAAACCTTTGGGACTCTGAGTAGGACAAATTAATTTCTCAGGAATGGCTGAAATGGTGCATCTACAACACTAGGGGTCCCTATGACCAAAGCTTGAGAGGTCCATGAATAATAGCTGAGGGCACCGTCACAGTTTGGGAAGGGGTTTCCTCTGACAGCTACTTACAGGAGTTAACCAAGGAAGTCAAAATATGTCAACATGGGACTCTCTCTTGAGTTTAGGTGAATAAAACCAGCAAGACTACACCCAGACAAATTTGTGATTTTAATCAGTATTTCTGAACCTTTTTTCTGATTGTGGCCTTCCTCTAATCTTCTTTCCTTCCTGCGGCCCCTGTCCTACTAATTGATTTCCTACTCTCATGTCCCCAGTTGACAAACACTGATTTTGATAAGATTTGTTTTCATTATTTCTACTTCCTTTCTGTCTCCTTCTTTCGACTCCTACTGCCCAGTCACCAGGTAACCCACCAGAGATAGCGGCTTGAAGTCTCTTTTGCAGATGACACTTCTTCTACACAATCAATTTCCTCTGCTTTGCACATTTCCTAACCACTCCCATGTAACAAACCTTAACTGATCTAGAATCCTTTAGAGGGCCTAAATTAATGATCAGTTAATTTAATGCACCTCCTACTAAAGTTTTAATGACTAGTAAACTCTTAACTTTCTTTACAAATCAGCCTCACCTGATCTTGGATTCTTTTGAATGCATTCACTTTCACTACCATCAATCAGCACTTTCCAGGCCAGAGGGATAGTACAGAGGGTAAGGCACTTGCCTTGCATGCAGTTGACCAGGCCTTGATCCCTCACATCCCATATGGTGCCTCAAGCTTTGCCAGAGTGACTCCTAAGTGCAGAGCCAGGAATAACCCCTGAGCATGGCCAGGTATGGTGCAAAAATAAATAAATAAAGCACTTCCATATTTCTTTATAAATAAGATCACAGATGACATAGACCATTTATCTCTATTAGATACTTCTCAAAGTATGATCTAGTTACCACCTAGATCATTGTGCTGGAGAGGGAGGAACTGCTTGTTGAAATACAGATCCTCAGACGTCACAATGGCTCAGGGAGTTAGATTCTCTGCAGGGAGTGATTATCTTTAACATGACCCAAGTTAATTCTTCTGCATACTAAGTCTATAAATACCATGTAACAGGCACAGAGTAACATGCTGTCCAAGTGCTGGTGTCATAAGTAAAGACTCTCATATACAGTTAACACCTGCTATTAACATAAAAAATAGGTAGCACTGTAGCACTGTCCTCCCATTGTTCATCGATTTGCTCAAGCAGGCCCAGTAATGCCTCCATTGTGAGACTTGTTACTGGTGTTTGGCATGTCGAATACATCACGGGTACATGTCCAAATATTCTTAAAAACTAGAAAGTTAACCTGCCATGTCTATAGGCAGTATATAGGACATTGCTGTTTCTTCTACTCACAGTTTTGCTGTGAACCAAAATTTGCTCTAATAAACTTTTTAACAATGAAAGATAAATAGAAAGAAGAAAGGGAGAAAAGGAGGGAGGGAACGAAAACGGTTGACCTGTCTTATAAAAAATAGGTACAGGTATGTCCAAATATTAAAAAAAAATTAGAAAACTGACCTGCCATGTATTTAGACAGTATAGAGAACATTACTGTTTCCTCTGCTCACAATTTTGCTGTGAACCAAAATTTGCTCTAAAAAATAAGAGAAATGAAGAAAAAAGCAAGGAGGCAAGGGGAAAACGCTGACTTGTCTTAGATAAGCATTTGCTGCTCCCTTCTTCCTCCACTCATCCTCTCTAACGTTAGTGAGGCCCCAAACTCCTAAGGCAGAGCTGGTAACTCCAAGTTGTAGGCTCCCACAGCCCTGAAAGATTGTCACAAGATTCGGGCATTTACATCTTCCATTGGCCAACTATCCTCTTGCTGGTCACGGAGTACCACACAACTTGATGACAGGCACACTCCTATCCCCCAGTCTGGCACTCTCTAGGTATGCAGTCAGGTTGGCTAGGTAACTGACAGATCAAATAATGGAGCAACATTGGGCCATCCTTAGATGAAGGGTCTTGGGAGGACGTCTGAATGGAACCGCAGAATCCCTTCTACACATCCCCAGATGCCCCTACGAGTCACATTACTCCTCTCTCCTCTCTCAGGGAATCAAGGTCCTCGTGTCCACTGCGTTAACTGTGAGCGATGCTCTGAATCCGTCAATACATCGCCTCCAGTCCCATCGGAGGAGGGAAGCAAGGGACGCTGCCATCAGAGATACCGCACCCAGTGTTCGTTTCATGCGGAAAGCAGAAGCCACACGGGGTCTTTCCAACAGAGGGGGGTTTAATGCACAGAACTGATTACACGGGTTTGGTAGGGCTGAGCCGGAGGGGGCCACGGAGATGGGCCAGATAGTTAGTAAACACAACGAGGGGCTACTGACCTTAGGGCAGGAGAACGGAACAAAAAGGGAAGAGATGGTGTTACCAGAACCTAGAAGTTTTGACGGGGGACCCCCCACGGCTGGACCCCCCTCTCTGGGGGCTGCTCTTCGGCTGCTGCTTGGGCTTCGGAGGGGGCCGCTGCTTGGCCGGTGGCGTCCGGACCTCCGGGCGGGGGCGTGGCTGCCGCTCGAACCTCGGAGGGGACCTCGGAGGGGACCGTGGCTTGGCTGGTGCTCTGACCATCGGAGGGGACCTCGGAGGGGACCGTGGCTTGGCTGGTGCTCTGACCACCGCGGGGGGTGCCGCTGGCTGGAGCTTGGGCCTCTGGGGGGACGGTGAGCGGCGGCGGCGGCTGGGTCTGGGAGGGCCAAAAGAAGCCGTGGCTCTCCTCCGCAGCTCCGCAGCTCCGGGGGGCTGCCGGCCCGGCTCCCCCGCCCACCGGCCCGAGCGCTTACCGGGTCTTCTGGCAGGCGCAGCAGATCCAGTCCTCCTCCTTCTTCTGGTAGAAGCAGCCGCTCTTGCAGATGCTGTACTTGCGGTCCACGATCTCGCGCTTGGAGTTGAGGAACGTGAAGGGCGGGCAGCAGTGGATGCTGAAGTGCTCCGAAAACTTCTGGTTCTTGGAGAGTCGGGGACCCTCCTTGCCCGTCTTCTGACTCATCTCACTGATGTTCGTTCATCCGGGTGGAGGGAGCAAGGGGAGACAGCGAAAGGGCACGTCAGGCACCCAAAGTTTCCCGTGGGTCCCCCTCCCCCGGGCTGTCCTTCCCCCCACACACACACACCAATCCACAGCCACCTGTGGATGTGTCTACATCCCGCGTCTGGCGAGCACCTGCGAGATTTTCTACCTGGATATATATATATATATATATATATATATATATATATATATAAAATTGAGGGGAGAGGTAATTAATGGGGGGGGGGGGCTTTGCATTTCTTATGTTTTCTGAAGAGGAACCCAGTTGTCCTTATTTTAGTGACCCGTTTAAGATAAATGCTGTGAGATTGAATCTGTTCAAAATAATATTCTAGATTTAGGAAAGACCTTTTTCTCTAAAACACACAAGCACACGCATATTTGTTTGTTTTGTTTGGTGGCCACACCTAGACATGCTCAGTTCTTACTCCTGGCTCTGCACTCAGGAACCACTCCTTGGAGGTTTCAGGGGACCCTACAGGGGTTGGGACTGGACCCAGTTCAATTCCTGTTAGCGTGTTCTAGCCTCACCTAGAATGAATGCGGTGCTAGAAAACAGAACAAACATGGTTTTGGAGAAGGCTCAAGGGAGCCTGCTGGGGACTCAATTCTGAATCTCAACCTAAAGTGATTCACAGGTATATTTGAATATAAAAATTCGATGAGATACACAATTTCTGTAGGTCTGGGGTCACAGAGATAGAGAGACAGACAAAGAGAGACAGAGACTGAGACAGAGAGAGACACAGAGAGACAGAGAGATCAAGACAGAGAGAATAGAAGACAGAGAGAGCAGACTAGAACACATGCTTTGCACTGGAAGGCTCAGCCTTGATACCTGGTAGCACATGGAGGGGGGGGGGGGAGGAGGCAGAGAACTGAACTCTGAGACAGAAGTAGCTCCTGAGCACCTCCAGGGGTGACCCTAAAACGAACAAAAATTCTGTGCATTTGTCTCTTCATCTTAGTTTAAAGAATAAAAAGAAGGGTAGGGGGGTACAAGAGTTAAAGTCATTCCAGAAGCGCTAGGAGATTACTTTTGGCAAGTTCAGGGATCGTCTGAGGTATTGGGGCTGGAATCTGAATCAGCAGCATGCAAGGCGAGCACCCAACCCACTGTCCCATCTCTCCAGTCCCACATGTTGACTTTCCCTTTGGTGTTTTAGCCACTCCGTACACACCATCTGTCCTGCCTCAGGCAGAAACTCTGACTTGGACACCTCTTAGTACCACTTTCTCCTCTGAACCTTGACATCCTTCAGAGGATGACATGCCTGCAATTATGCACACTCTAAAACCTTCAGATTGTTGTAGATATGGGGTTGTTTTGGTTGTTTGGTTGGTTTTTTGTTTTGTTTTGTTTTGGTGTGTGAGCAGTTTACAGGTTTTTTGCAAGAGTGTGACAGCAACTGGAGCTTTTTTCATCAGATAAGTGACACTCTGGGTTAACATACAAATTCCTTATGATAATGCCTAAGAACCACAAGTGTCTGTCTCCTAGCCAAATCCTACTCCATTCTCAGTTTGCTCAGAACTCACCAACCACTGGCTAGTTGAAAACACAACTGTCCTTTAGTGGTTTTTTTAAAAAATTAATTTTTAAAATTTTATTTAGTCCACATGAAATTATACAAAGTTATTCATGATTAGGTTTCAGGCATACAATCTTTCAAAACCAGTCCCTTCACAAATGTCCACTTCTCTACACCATTACTTTCCTCTCCTACTCGACTTCACCTCTCACCATTCAGACTGCCTGTATAGAGGCACTCTTTTTTATTTATTTTTTTATTCGAATCACTGTGAGATAGACCCTTACAAAGAGTTCATGATTAGATTTTAGTTAGTGTTCCAATACCCATTCCTCTACCAGTGTATTTCCGAGCACCAGTGTCCCCAGTTCCTTTCCATCACCCCCACCCTCTCCCTTATCCCTCCCAGCATACCTCTATGGAAGGGGATATTCTTCTCTGTCTCTCTCTTTGTCTCTCTCTCTTCTTTTGGGCATTGTGGTTTGCCATATTGATACTGAAAGGTTATCAAGAATATCCCTTTACAGACTTTTAACATTTAGTTCTTGTCCAGCCTGATCATTTCCAACTATTATTGTCACACTGGTCCCTTCTCTGTCTTACCTACCCTCTGACCCACACACTTGTGGTTGACTCCAATCATTGACAGTCCTCCTACCCCTTGTTTTCCCTGACCATGGATATTAGTCTTCTACTATATATTTTTATATGCCACAAATGAGTGCAGTCATTCTATATCTTTCCCTCTCCTTCTGACTCATACCACTCAGCATCACACTCTCCATGTCCATCCACTCATAGGCAAATTTTTCATGACTTCATTTTTCCTAACAACTGCACAGTATTTCATTGTGTAGGTGTGCCATGGTTTCTATGTGAGAGGTGCTTTTTTAAAATGTTTTTACACTGTGATTTACAATACTGTTATTAATAGGGTTTCATGTATAGCAAAGTAGCCTTTTGCCCAGTTTTCTTCTGCTCAATATTTCTGACCCTAATTCCTTACTCTCATGGTTGTGCTTTTTCATTTAAGTTATCATTTTAAATGTTAAAAGAAAGACAAAGATTTAATGCCTTAATAAATACTTAAAGAAGAAAAAGAAAGTCTTTCTATTTCAAATTGAGTTACAAAATATATATTGCAGCAATGCAATATCCACCCAGAAAAATGTCTTGCTTTGGTTGGTTGGTGGGACTTTTTCACATGTGTGAAATTGTTGATGTTACTTTGAGAATTTTTTGGTGGTGTTTTGTTGTTATTTTTAATTTAGTACAGATGTCTGTAAAAATATTGAGCTTTCATGCAGCTTGTACAAATGTAAATTCTTTATTCATACAACCAAATTGCATATCAATTGACCAAGGCAATTTATAACTATTCTGAGAGCATCATTAGCCAGGTTCTGTAATTTGAACTCTTAGAAATACATTTGTTAGGAAGGAGCACTGTATTTAGTCCTTTTTGTTTTCCTAGTAACAATAATGAACTTTTATTTTCTTTTTTTAATTTTTTATTTATTGAATCACCGTGAGAACAGTCACAAAGCCTTTCAGTTTAAGTCTCAGTCAGTCATACAATGATCAAACACCCATCCCTTCACCAGTGCACATTTTCCACCACCAAGGACCCCAGCATACCCCTCCTCCCACCACTCCCCCTGCCTGTGTGGCAGATTTCCACTTTACTCTCTCTGGCAGATTTCCACTTTTCTCTCTCTCTCTCTCTCTCTCTCTCTCTCTCTCTCTCTCTCTCTCTCTCGATCACATTAAGTATTACGACAAAAGACCCACCATTATTATTTGGAATTTTCCCCAACAATCAGACCTGACAAAAAGACATCATTAGATAATTTGTTTTCTATTGCTGATTATGAGGAGCATATGATGTTCTGCAGCCGCTATTGTGGCCACACGATTTTGGATTTCTCATATTCTAGTAATAAGTCTGGAGGGATTACTGCCAAATGCCGCTGGGTTCTGAGATTGGTTTGTGTGCCTCTGGGATCACTGGGATCATGGTCATTCAGGAGCCAGAGGAGGCATTCATGGGTGGCAACACAAGACCTTGTCAGGATGGGGAGCAGGGCTAGTTCCATCCCCCCATCCCATGAGGCCCAGTGTGCCTCGTCACTGCAGTCTCATACCCGGCTGTCCATTAGACTCTGAAAGATAGCGGCCACCTTGTCACCACCACCAGGGGGAAAAGGCAGAGGTACAAACACCCTTCCCCTCCTGGGGCGGCATAGGGCCATAGTTTAATGGACAGTCCAGATGCATTTCAGTTGGGCATTATATTTTGCTCAAATTTTCCCACCACCATTCAATCCTGCCTTCCAGGGACAGATGCTAGATAATTTACTTTCCATTGCTCACTTTGCATATCAGAAAAGGTCGCGCACAGCAGCATAAGAGGCCTCACCATTCGAAAGAATAGTCCTGGTGACCACATACTGGAGCCATACTTGTAGAAGCTCATGGTCGTCAGGGTTCTGTCTGGAGAAGGAGCACCTGCCCCATCTGGAACCTCCCGGCAACTTTGGCTTGGTACAGGGCCCAGAGAATTCTCCGGGTGTTGTGGAGCCTGCCGACCAGGTTTCTTCCGATAATGATTTTTTTTAGATGATTGAATGTATTTGTTACCTCTAAAATGTTACCTCATAAGAATGTTACCTCTATTTGTTTTGGGGTAATGGGTAAGTAGGGAAGACAGGAATTATTTTTTAATCTATTCTTGTGTCCATTTGAAAATGTCTCTAATTAAAAAAATATTCAAAGATCAAAAAAGGAGAGGTAAAAAGAAATTTGAGCCTAAAAATATGTTTCTAACAGGAATTTCAGAGCAAAAATCATAGTTGCTACATTATCTTTTCTGGGGATGCAAAAGCTACTGGACCTAATCTTCCAAAGTAAAGAAACACATAAAGATTCAAATGACTATCAGCAAAAGTCAACAAATAGGCATGAGTGATAGACATAGACTGGCCACTGAGAATGTCCCTGCTTGCAACAAACTCAAGAAGTCTGGGACTAGAGCACATGCTTTGCATGTGGAAGGCCTGTGTCTGACTAGGCACCACATGGCCCCCTGAGCAACATGGGAAGCAATTCTCAAACGACACACTGGGAGTAAAGCCTGAGCACCAGCGGTGTGACTCAAAAATAAAACAAACAAAAGGGGGGAAAAAAAAGAAGTCAAGGTGGAAGCATGAATGTGCAGTGCATAATTACAAAACAGCATCATGTTGACCAACAGAAATCTGCAAAAAAGTTCAAGGTAAACTTAAGAAGTTGAGAAGGAGAGAGGTATTTTTTTAAACACTGAATAGATGAGCTGGGTTTTTAAAAAATGAATACATTTAAAAAACAACTAAGCAGAGGATCTCTCAGAAATCAACAGAATAAGACAAGTCTGGAAAGAGGGTAGTGTTAA